ATTTTTTTCACTGAAACTGCAGAAAGGAAGGAAAGGTAGGTATGGATACAAATAAGTTAGGAGAAATGACAGGATGTGAAGGAACACTTGCTTCTGCGCATTATTTTTTTCAGTAGAGTAAAAGCAGGCTCATCTGATGGACCCAATGGGGGTCAAATGACAAGTTAAAAGACCCGAGGGGAAAATGATGAAAGTTGAAATGGTTATGGAGAATAAGAGAGCTGAAACGAAACAAATCAAATGATAAAGAGGTATCCTGATAGGCCAGCTAAAATGAAGAGCTGGATTTTTTAGTATCATCAACCCACGTGGCTGTTTGATTTTTGACAGCATTGCCTACCAATCTGGGTCTAGGCATGGAGAACACAGGTGGTTGGGTTGACCCAGGATTGGACATTGGACAGATGCAGCAGAAATGTAAAGCAAGAGTTTGTCAGTCTAGACAACAGAATGTTTAAGTCAAGGATCAAAGGTCCAGGCTTACTTTCAAAAAACAAAACGAAACAAAACAACTTACAAAAAGAACCTTTTAGATAGAGAAAAAATGGAACAGTTATGAAACCTGGATGCCAATGAAGTGCAGTAGAACTGGGTACTGGGGTAACAGGAGGCTAAGTCGGAGAGTGAGATCCTACAGTAGAACATTTCAGAAATGGAGTGTCCCCGTGACAAAGAGCTCAGATTTGGCTCGAGGTGATAACTGCAGAGGAAAAGAAGAAGAGGTCAGTGGCTTTGACAACACCAAGCAAATATTATACTAATTTGTCCGATGGCCCATTCACCATTTGGAAAAACCTTAAAGGCCACTAATCCAACCTCCTTAAATACAAACTTATATTCAAGTGTAACCATCCATAAATCTTGGCCAAGCAGCTGTCAACCTAAGCTTGAAGTAGTGACCCCAAATAGAACGTCCGCTAGGAATGATTTCACTCACGTTCTCCAAAGTGAGTGTGAAATCAAGTCAGTGATACCTTTGGTTTGTTGAACATCAATGATTATTTGCATATCGTAGTTTGCATTTTTTACTTTACTTTCAGAAGAAAATGGTGGGTATGATTTGGAGAGAAGGAACTTTGGATTCCCTCCTGGTCGAAAGCGCTTGAACAAAACTTTTAGTGGCAGGAGCAGTGGAGGATGTGGCTGAGATTCCCTTGGAGCTGACATTTAAATCACTTTTCATTGCACAGGTATGATGCCAGTCTCAGCTTTCCCAGCCCAGCTACTGCTGTTCAGCCAGCTCTGTTATCTTAAATGCCCAGGTTTGGCAGCTTATCAGACAGCTAAATCCTGTTTTTTTAACCTTCATATAAATGCATCTTTGGACTTAATATGGAACCAAACATAATTCAAAATATCAATAGCTATACTTGGAATTTTGAATCTATTAGATGATTCTACCATTCTCAGCCTCTATGGGAAAAAAAAATACTCAAAGCTGCTTGCATCCCTAGCCTTTTTTATTTTTTTCTCACTTTCTCCAAAATTAAGTCAGGAACAAGAAAAAAAAAGTTTAGTTTCCCTTCCTCCCTGAGGAGGAGTGTCACTTA